TTAGAATAATGATAAAGATTTTAGCTATGCACAGTGCATGCTGTCAGAGCCATGCAGCGAGCTTGGCTGCTGCTAAAAGGCTAAAAGCTGCACAGGAGCAGAGGTGGCTGATGTGTGATCATGAGCGTTACAGTCTTTAGAGCCACCAGCCCCTCAGTCCCAACTGGTTGCACTTGAAGATGAATGCCAGCTCTTTGGTTTTCTGAACTATCAATCCATTTCTCCAGTAGTTCCCTGAATTCCTTTCCAGAGTGGGTAACAGTGGGCTCTCTAGCTGAGTTCTGATGGTTATGACTAATGTGGACTTTCCTGGGGTTAGGGATGTAGGTCGGTTGGTAGAGTACTTTCCTGGCATGTGTGAAGTAGTGGGTAGATCCCTGACACCTACACTGTATAGATCAGGTGTGGTGGCACTTGCATGAACTCCCAGTACTTAGGAGGTGGTGGAAAGAGGATCAGAAGTTCAAGGTCATCCTCTGCTGTATATGACTGTATATGTATATGAGGTCAGCCTGGGGGATGTGAAACCTCTCAATAACAACAACAACATCTTTCTTTCTTTTCTTCTTCTTTTTTTTTTTTTTTTTTTTTGTTTTTTTGAGACAGGGTTTCTCTGTGTAGTTTTGGTGCCTGTCCTGGATCTCACTCTGTAGACCAGGCTGGCCTCAAACTCACAGAGATCTGCCCGGCTCTGCTTCCTGAGTGCTGGAATCAAAGGCATGCACCACCGCCGCCTGGCCAATCTTCCATCTTCTTTGTGTGCATGTGCATAGACATTTGTCTGTATGTGTATGCTGGAATGTGTGTGTGTGCATGAGTGTGTGTGTGTGTATGTGTGAGTGTGAGAGAGAGAGAGAGAGATAGAGAGATAGATAGATAAAGAGAGAGAGAGAGAGAGAGAGAGAGAGAGAGAGAGAGAGAGAGAGAGAGAGAGAAGGCCAGAAACCAACATCAGGTACCTTCCTCAGTTGCTGTCCACTTGGAGCTCACTGATATGGCTAGAGTGCTGGTGAGCAAGCCCTAGGGACCTCTTGTCTCTGCCTCTGAGCACTGAGATTACAAGCATTGCTGCCGTGGTGAGTTTTTATGTGGGTGCTGGGGATTGAACTCAGGTCCTCAATGCTTCTCAGTGAGCACTTTCCTGACTCAGCCATCTCCCCAGCCTCCTCCACCATTGAATTCCAATGAGGTAGATGATGAATGCACAAGAGTGAACTGGACGGAATTGCCCACTAATGAAAATATTCTGAATATCCACAATGACAGAGTTGGTAAAGACCTCCAATTGATTATCAAGCAATCACACAGATGTACAGTGCAATATCTTCTGAGAAGAAAGACTACTTACAAGTTATCTTTGAGTGAAAGATTACAGAACAATGCCGAGTAACTTACAGTGCGATATCTTCTGAGAAGAAAGACTACTTACAAGTTATCTCTGAGTGACAGATTACAGAACAATGCTGAGTAACTAATTCTGGGGGAGAAGGTAAAGATTTTTAGGTGATTTTAGCTAATTTAAACTCTCCTGTATCCTTTGCCCTGCCACTGGTATTGGATAGTTAGCAAGAGCATCTGTTCTCATTTTACAAAACCTAATTCAACAAGTGACCTTGAAACTTGTTGGCAGTGCTTTTGCGGGCTCAGTCTTGCTTTCCGGGAGCTCGCACAAATGGTTAAGAAGTAAGAGAAGATCCTGGTTGGGACTGAGTGAGTGGAGAACACAAGCTGACAGTTAATAACTGAAAACAGCTGGCAAACAAACACATGGGCTATTATCGAGATTCACGTGTAATCAGAGAAGTGTAAATTTAAGTAATGGAGCAACGTTCGTGTTTTGTTTATAAAATTAGCAAGCTTTTCATTGCCATGTTATAGTAAAATTTAATTATGTCACTAAATCCTGTTGTATTCCTGTGGTGCTGCTAAAAATGGAAGATTATGCTGCAGTCTGGAAAAGAACATTTAAAGGAAGGAACTACAGGTTATAGTTCTTATGTTATGAATACTAATAATCAGTGGAGTGAGATTTATCGGGGAACAGGATTCAGTGGGAAAGATCTGGGTTCCATCCCACTCTGCCCCTTAATAAACTCTGACCTTGGGTGAGTTGCTGAACCGCAATGAGCCTTGGTTTCTTCAGTTCTAAGAAGGAGGTATTTGGCTCTATGTGTTTATAAAGCACCCGGCCTGGAACCAGATACCTCGTACTTACCCAGTAACTACTTCCTGAGTGAATGAATGTCGAGAATGAAAGACCATGTATCAGGGGCCATAGAAAGAAGGATTGGAGGAGACAGGACATAATGATTAGTGATTGCATTAGAGTAAAGAGAATGAGGGTTAGAAAAATTTCCCATTTTTTCCTTTTGACTTTTAGATTATTATTCCTTCCTGTGGCCTCTACCTAAGGTGGGGCAGGTATGAGGTCTCGCTCCATATTTGGTGGTTTTATATTTGTAATAAACTATGCTCACACTTTATCTTTCTCTTCCTTTCTGGATATCCTGTTGTATGTATTGCTTCATAAACTTTGAGACTTGAATACATGGCTGTGCCAGTGTAAAAATTTGAGACTTGATAATGCCCCCTCTTTGATGGGGGGACTGTAGCCTCCCACCTGTGTTCCATCACTCAGCTGTATCTCTAGTTTCTCCTTCTTTTACTCATTGAAACACTTTGAAGTCAGTCTTGCCCCCCACTCCCATCAAATCTGTCAGCACACCTTAGTGATCTTAACCAGAATTTCTTTTTACCGATCAAATCTGTCAGCACGCCTTAGTGATCTTAACCAGAATTTCTTTTTATGTCCATGGTTCCCCTTCTAGTCTCAGCCCCTGTGGTGGTTTGAATAGGCATGGCCCCCATAGACTCATGTATTTGAAGGCTTGGCCCATAGGGAATGGCACTATTAAGAGGTGTGGAGTTGTTGGAGTAGGCGTGTCATTGTGGAGGTGGGCTTTGAGGTTTTATATGCTCAAGCTAGGCCTAATGTGGCAGACTCCTTCTGCTGCCGGTGGATCAGATGTAGGACTCTCAGCTCCTTCTCCGGCACCATGCCTGCCTGCATGTTGCCATGCTTCTCATATGAACTGAACCTCTGTTTTTTTTTTTTTTTTTTTTTTTTTTGGTTTTGGTTTTGGTTTTTTCGAGACAGGGTTTCTCTGTATAGCTTTGCACTTTTCCTGGAACTCACTTGGTAGCCCAGGCTGGCCTCGAACTCACAGAGATCCGCCTGGCTCTGCCTCCCGAGAGCTGGGATTAAAGGCGTGCACCACCACCGCCCGGCTGAACTGAACCTCTGAAACTGTAAGCCAGCCCCAAATAAATGTTTTCCTTCACAAGAGTTACTGTTGTCATGGTGTCTCCTCACAGCACTAGAGACCTTAACTAAGACACCATTGACCATGTCTGAAAGAGATACTGAAGCAGCCTCCGCACTGGTCTCTGTGACCACCTTCCCCCTTCCAGTGTCTTCTCAACACAGTGACAGGCAAAAAGAAGAGTAGGCCACCATAGTGCCTAGAACCTTCCAGTGGTTTCTCATTGCATTCAGAGGAAGTTCAAAATTCTTAAAGGATTCAGCTCCCACCCAACAGCTCACAGCTGTCTGTTCATTAGTTAGCCTGCTCTTCTGCACTCCCTTTTCCCTCTGTCTGAAAACTTTCCGGAGATATTTGCAGAAGAGTTCTTCCTGTCTGGCAGCTGTGCCCTGTCACCTTGTCACTAAGGTGGGCATTCTCACCGGGACTCTTCATATCTCTTACTTTTTTCTTTTTTTCTGTGTTTAAGGTCATGCAACCTACTGTATATGTCAGCAAAAATGTAGACATTTATATATCTTTCCAGTAAAAACAGCTGTGAGGCAAGAACTTTTGTCTGTTTTTACTTCTTACTATGACCTTGTTAGTGTCTGGAATGTAGTCCGTTCTCAATAATGTTTATTAACTACTTCACTGTTTCATGTAAGTGAGTTTTAATCACACTCTTGTTTAAAGGTGTGTGAAGGATGCACAGGTGGGTTTATATGCCTCTCACCCACCTTCAACCCTCCTCAGGAACAGAACAAAGGTGATGAGCAGCCTAATAACTACATGGTGTTTGTTGTCTTGGGTTTACTTTTCTTGTTGAGCTAGGATGGCACCTAAACTATGTTAGCTAGAGGGTAGGCTGGCAGGTCTCCAGGTGAGATCTGGGTGGTGGCTTTTAGTGTACATACATTGTATTTACAACCAAAATTAGGGCCTGCAGGGATTGCTCAGTGGGGAGATGTCTCAGTGACTGAGCAGCAAGAGGTGGTACAAACAAGAGGACCTGGATTTGAATCCCTGGCAAACATAGAAAAGCCAGGGGCAGCAGGGCACATCTGTAACTCCAGCAGTGGAGGGCAGAGACAGGCAGGTTCTGGGGTATAGCCAGCCAATCTATCTGAAGCTGTAAGCTCCACATTTGGTGTGGGCATGAGTGCACATGCACACACACATGTGCACATATGTGCACACACACACACACACCACATATACACACACACAAGATGAATATTCAAATAAGTTTACTGTTATACCTCAGAAAAAAATGTTTGGCGCCATGACTTCCCCAGCGTGAGGGACTGTACCAGAATAGCCTGTTCCTTTTTAACTCGCTTTTGTAAGACCTGTTCTTGGACATTTCCAGAGGGAGTTAGCATGCATATGATTTATACAGGGACCAAGAATGGCTCTTTAGGTTCTTCCTTATTTAGCTCTCTATGTTAGCCAGACATAATGGCATGTGCCCGGAGTCTCAGCATTGAGGAAATGGAAAGACAGCTTGGTCTACATATCTCGACAGTGAGACCCTGTCTCAAAACAGACAGTGAGACCCTGTCTCAAAACAGACGGATGGACAGATGGATGGTCAGACAAAACAAACAGAAACCCAAAAGGATTTCTAGTTAGGTTACTGGGATTTTTGTTTTGAACTAATAATTAAGGTAATTTTGTTGACTTTGTGTTTTGCAGAGGTAATAGTGGCAGAATTCCATAAGAAGATCAAAGAGGCCTTTGAAGTGTTTGACCATGAAACGAATAACACAGTGGATGTGAGGTTTGGAAATACTTATTGTTGTTATAATTCTAAATTATAGATATAGTTCATAAATAGAAGGGGGCCGTTTTCTCCTTTTTTAAAAAACTGTACTTTGAGTTTATTTTGCTATTTAAGTATTTATTTTCTTATGCTCTGTGTTTTTACTAACTACCACTTCAAGGTAAATTCTGTTTCCTATTTTTTGTAGACTATATTATCATTGTCTATTCCAACGTATAGACTGTGAGCCGAGTAAGATGAATGTGCTGATATTTTGTTTGTGCTCTAATAAATAAAGCTTGCCTGGAGATCAGAGTGTGGAGCTAGCCACTAGTTAGCCATAGAGGCCAGGCAGTGGTGGCACACACCTTTAATCCCAGAACTTGTGATCATGCCTTTGATCCCAGTACTTGGGAGGCACATGCCTTTAATCCCAGCACTGGGGAGGAGGAAACAGGAAGTGATATGGCTGGGTGGAGAGAGGAACATAAGGCTGCTGAGACAGGAGCTCAGCCTCCTTTCAGGCTGAGGAGTTGGCGAGGTAAGAGGTGGCTGTGGCTTGCTCCTTTGTCTTTCTGATCTTCAGCATTCACCCCGATATCTGACTCTGGGTTTTTATTATTAAGACCAATTAGAATTTGCACTACAGATGAACTTCATTATAGCTTTAGTGATGGCACATATTTGGTGCTCAGTACATCTCTGTTTAGTGAACAGATGGAGTTTGCATTTTAAAATGTACAAATATGGAGCCGGGCGGTGGTGGCGCACGCCTTTAATCCCAGCACTCGGGAGGCAGAGGCAGGCGGATCTCTGTGAGTTCAAGGCCAGCCTGGTCTACCAAGTGAGTTCCAGGAAAGGCACAAAGCTACACAGAGAAACCCTGTCTCGAAAAACCAAAAAAAAAAAAAAAAAAAATGTACAAATATGGACTGGAGAGATGACTTAGTTTGTCAGAATGCTTCCTGTGCAAGTATGAGAACCCAAGTTTGGATCTATAGTGCTGATGTAAAAGCCAGGTGTGGCCACACATACTTTTGACCCCAGCGTTGGAGGGCAGAGACAAGCAGATCCCAGGAGTTCAGTGGTCAGTCAGTTCAGCTGAACAGCAAGCTTCAGGTTCAGGGAGAGACTCTGTCTCAAGGGAATAAAGAAATCAATAGAAGAAGACACCTGATGTCCCCTCCTGGCCTCTGAATGTGCATGCACACATACTATAGCAGTGGTTTTCAGCCTTCTTAATGCTGCGACCCTTTAATACAGTTCCTCATGGTGTGCTGATCTCCAACCATAAAATTCTTTTCGTTGCTACTTCATAACCATAATTTTGCTACTGTTATGTATCATAATGTAAATATCTGTGTTTTCTGATTGTCTTAGACAACCCCTGTGAAGAGTCATTTGACCCCAATGGGACCCACAGGTTGAGAAACTGCTGTAATATATATATATATATATATATATATATACACACACACACACACACACACACACACACACACACACATATATATGTATATGTGTAATTTTTAAAAAAGATTATAAAAATACATAGATATGTATTATCAAGCCATCATTACAAAGAATAATAATGTTTACAGAATGATATATTCCCCAAGTAAAAATAATAAATGGACTAAACAGAGCATGAAAAAATGGAAAGACATGAATATGGGAAGATTTAGAGTAGAATACAGGTGTGGCGGTGTACACCTGTAATTGCAGCATTTAGGAGCTGAGTCAGGAAGATTATGAATTTGAAGCCAGCCTTAGCCAGCTTAGAGGGTGAAAGGGAAGAAAATGGCAAGAGTCTAGTAGAAACTGTAGGCTCTCTGCCTCATACAGCAAGAGAGAGCCATGAATCCTCTCTTCCAGGAGGCCAGGCGAAGTGGGGATTATTTGATGAGTTCATAGTCTAAGAGCTTCTAGTACTGAAGACAGCAAAGCAGTGGGGATCTAAAGTGGTACAACAAGGAACTGCTTATAAACCAGGGCCATCCATCACTTCCTGTACTAGCCAGGGCCCCAAATGCTTCAGCCTTGAGCCAAACTCAATGAACAGTTGAGACTTGATTCGTAAATTGTAACCATATGTATTATTTAGTTCCTCATACCTGAGAGTCCGAGATTAACAAGTGTGAGCAGCTTCGTCTTCACAGTAACACTTCGGAAGCTTTGTCCTCTAGTTTTGTGTGTAAGTCTGTTGTGATAGACGAAGTGGAAGACAGTTCAATTTGTCCCCACAGTACCTGACTTTAGTGGGCTCTACTAGTTACTTGTCTTGCTGAAGCAAAGGATCTGACTGAAGCAGCGGAAGGACAGAAGGAAGGACGGAAGGAAGGCAGGCAGGCAGGCAGGCAGGCAGGCTTATTTGGCTCGCAGTTTGAGAGGGTAGGCTGTCACAGCAGCGAGAGCTTGAGATAGGTGCTCACCTACGGCCATAGGCAGAAGCAGAGAGAAGACTGAAGTTCAGCTCACTTTCTTTTTTGTTTAGTCCTGGAACCCAGCCTATAGAAGGGTGCTGCCCACAGTTAAGAGGATCGTTTCACCTCCATTAACCTTCACAGGCATGCCCAGAAGCTGACCCAGTCTTACCCCACAGGCATGCTCAGAGGCTTGTCTCCTAGTTGAGTCTAGGTCCTGTCAAGATGATAATCTAGGTTAATCATCATGGGCAGTGTGAGTCTAGGTTCAACCATTGTAGTGGAAGTGTGATGGGAACTTAAGGGTAGCATGGCAGCATTGTGCAGCTCCCAGAAGCTCTGGTCATTCTATGGGAACGGCTCTTCAAAGAGTACTGAGCCTTGTCTGTGTGTCCTTGCAGGAAAATGAGCGGAGAGGGATGGTGCTAGTTATAGGTTTGCTGAGTAGAATGGAGCATGTATCATGTACCTTGCAGTTAGATGGACTAGATATATGATAGACAAGTTCTTATCCTCTAACCTCTCCTTGAACCTGAATGGTTCTCCTCCTAGGCCAGGGGAGAAGTATTGTTAGAAAAGTCAGGGAAAGTAAAACTTCACATGTGTCTCTGGGGATCCTGGCCTTGTCTCTTCCCTTAGTTTTCTTGACAGTAACAGTGAAAGGGAAATTTCCCATATCCTGTAGGGCAGAGATGCCAGCCAGGCCTTTTTTGGTAAAAGGGCCAATTCAGGAAAAAGAGATGTGCTTATGGGCTGCAACTTTTCCCCATACCAAAGTAAAACAATTTTACTGAGGCCCCAAGGGAAAATGTATGCTCTTATAATTTAGTCTACTTTATTAAATAAAGATGGTTACTGAGAGAAATGGCATTGTTCTTAGCACTAAAATATTAATGCTAAGCATACCTGAAGAAGAGCATCGTGGATGACAGCAGCTTTCTAATCTTGATTACTTAGGCTATTTTTTTGTTTTGTTTTCATTTTGAGACAGAGTCTTACTCTGTAGCCCAGGCTGGCCTCAAACTTGTGACAGTCCCCTTGCCTCAGCGTCCAAGTGCTGAACCTCAGGTGGAGGTTCCTGTGCCAGACTCCTTGTGCCGAATTGTATGGACCTTTATGCTCATGGTTTTGGTGTTATTTTGAGTCACTCACCCTTTATAAACTGGATGTGAAGGACAGAGACACAAACTCTTGCCCAGGGTTGCACAATAGTGAGCAGCAGAGTTGGAAGTCGAGTTAGTTTGTTTCCTGTCCGGCAGCATTTTCCAAGTTGGCTGCACACCAGCCCCAAGGGAGGCCCTGGGAATCTGTGATGAACAGGGTCAGCTCTCTCCATTTAGAAAAGCAGTTGATCTGTCTGGAATTTATTACGGGTTTATGATTAAAAGTGAAAGTCGAAATAGACATTTATTTTTAGCTTACTAAACAGTTTATGTTTGCTGTGTGAAGTGTTAGGCCTACTGTATAACTTGCTACCTTTTGTACAATTGGATCCAGTTTCAACTGGCTTTGGATCTATTGCATTATCTTCAGTAAGTTCAATACTCATTAAGAGGTATCAATTTATAAAACGTTTAACATCTGATAAAGAATTTATTACTCTTGGAACATTTGAGGATTGAAGGCAGCATTCTATGTATACTGAATAGTGTAGAGAAGTGTCAGATATGTTGGCTCATGCTTATAATCCCAGCATTTGGGAGGCTGAGGCAGGAGGATAACCACAAGTTCAAGGCCAGCCTGGGCAACAAAGTAAGAACTTGTTTTTTAAAAAAATGCCCCTCAAAACCCAAAAAAGTGTTTTTGTGTGTAGTAAGAGCACCAGAGGGATGGACACCCAATGGCCTGCGCTGGGCAGGATGAGAGCTAGCTGATCCCTAAGAGGAGGCCAGGGCATTGGTGGCCTCAGGGAAGTAGGGAGTTGCTTTCCTCAGTACAGACCCAGGCTGCCTTCAGTAGTTATGGGGGCTTCTTTCCTTTCTCCTTCTTACTGCTGTGCAAAAATGGAAAGATTTCACTTGAATTTTTATCATAATAGATATTAAAAAGGCCTGGTATTCCGAGTGCCAAGCAGGCAGTAGGTTGCTTGCTACTATCTGAAACATTATGAAATGGTCTGCTCTGCTTCCTGAGACCTGGGAATAAGCGTACTTTCCAGGTCCTAGGCCCAACGTCGTGATGCTGAGGACCAACTTATGTTCTCTGTGGTCCCCTTTCACTTTGCCGTACAGGGCTGTAGTATAAGAAGTTCTCCAGGTGGTTTAGAGATGTCCTTGGACGTCTCCATACACTACATGTGACTGAGAAGTCAAAACGATTTGCCTTAATAAAGCAAAGGTAGTATTAGGTATATTTTATTTTTATTTTTTTTTTTTTTAAGATTTATTTATTTATTATGTACACAGAAGAGGGCACCAGATCTCATTACAGATGGTTGTGAGCCACCATGTGGTTGCTGGGAATTGAACTCAGGACCTCTGGAAGAGCAGTCAGTGCTCTTAACCTCTGAGCCATCTCTCCAGCCCCCATTATTAGGTATATTTTAAAAGATTTATTTTGTTTAGTGGGTGTGATTGTAGCTGAGTGTATA